AGCCTCCTGTGGGCGCGCACACAAGGTTGTGCTGCTCGGCACGCGCTGGTATCGAGGTTCCTAGTCATGATCCATTGCAGAACTACACTGATGTGTTATTTTCACGTGAGCACTTTCTTGGTTATCTCTCCTTATCTAATCGAAAGATCCTTATATCAGACCAAAAGTAGTAGAGCTTCCTTCTGAAGTTGCAAAGATGATAACATTTGAAGAACATGTCACCGATATGAACATTGGCAGACTGCAGGAAGCGGTACAAGCGACTCTACTTAGACTGTACTGTAATAACGTCGGTCATCTGGTAAACAACTTACGTCATCCCCGGCTGTTTTCAAAACTGTGGCCGTGCTTTCAAAACTGAGGCACGGGGGCAATACGTCCAGCAGTGATCCTCGAACTCGAGCTGCAGCAAGGGCTGGCCGCCATGGCTCGTCACCGTGGCAGGGGTTTGCTCTCTTCGGGTAGGGACGAGATGCGCCACGTGACGGCGGAGATCCAAGCGGGCTAGCCAAGCACGGCGAGGCAAGGAGGTGGAGGAGGACGGCGAAGCGGAGAGCCGTCTTCCTATCAGCAACCACCGGGTCTGCCTCGACAGCCGCGTTTTGTTACGGCGAAGGCGGAGGGAGGCGGCGGCTGCAGCCTGCAGCGACGGGAAGGAGGAACGCGAAGGCACGGGTCATGTGCCCGCTTTTCGATCAAAATCCGATGGCTGAGAAAAACCAGGCTACGTGGCCAATCAGGTGGCCGAGCTCGGCCCTGTTTTCGTAATATAGAGAAGATACTGTAAAGGAACCAGTAAAAAAATCTCTCTTCCTACTAAGCATCTTACTTGCACCACGTCAAATATTATGCCGTACCTTCTTGGCAAATATGGTTCCTTTCTTGAGTCTTGATAGGCCCAATACATACATACGTATTGGCCATGCAAATGGAAGTTTCGCGGAATCTGCATTAGTCCTCGTCCATTTAATAAAGCTCAGTCTAAGACTAGTTAGATACTCCGTAGAGACATTCCCGTCACTCGTTTTTCTAACACCGCATAAAATCAACGCCGCTCTGAATATTTTGGTGGAGCTAGCTAGCGCAGTTTCTTCTTAACTATGATTGGAGCCTCTCCCACTGTGACGTTTTCGTGTCGCTGTTACTTGTTGTAAACATCGGCATTTTAACCAGGAAACGCGTCGCTGAATCCGCCTCGTCAGCTAGCGCTCATCGTCGACTTAAACAATAATGGAACAACGGAAGCCAAATCTTGCACATCCACTGATAATATATGGATCGGAGGTAGGTATGTAGCCAGGGCCGGCCCTGAGTTTTTAGGGGCCCGGAGCAAAACCAAAATCTAGGAGCCCCTTATATACAGATGCTTAAACACTTATATGTATAAAATAGTTAATGATAAACGCTTAGCTACATATGCAAAAGTGATATTCAAAGAAACAATACATACATACATATATATATATATATATATATATATATATATATATATATATATATATATATATATATATATATATATATATATATATATATATATATATATATATATATTAAAATACCTTCAAATTTTCTGTCACTATAATGATGGTATACTCTGGTTCCTTGACAACCATATCACCATCTTGTTTGGATCTCTTGAAGCGCTTGAATTACTCTTAAAAAACTTCTTTATAAATCTCTATGTGTGATTGTATTAATTCATCTACTCATACTCATTTTTTTATTTTTTCCGTTTGACTAGATTTTGTACAAAATATTTAAAAAGGAAATAAAAGAAGCAGGTTAAGATTTTACTGTATGGGCGCATGCATAATCATGTGCGCTTTGAAGATGCAAGAAGATAGTGAAGGAAGCTAGCAAATTAATATTATATTTTACAATAATTGGGGAAAAATTCGATGGCTGACATCGACCGAGAGCGGCCAATCCGACGGCAACAAAGGTAGGAGGCAACGGGAGGCAATGGGACGGAGGCAACAGAAGGCGATTGCTATGTCTATGATCGGTGGGCCATATGTGCAAAAATCGTCTTCCATTGCCTCCGCAAATGTGGGAATTAGGACTGGGCGGTAATTCCATTCTCGTAGTTTTTTTTTTGATAAAGGGTAAAACGGTAACTCTATAAATGCAAAAATAATATTTTGAGTAGTATAGTTAGGATGGATAATACAATTAGTATAGTTAGTTAAATGAATATGTCGTTTACTTCTTCTAGCTTCCACCGCCGATCCTGCGAGCCGCTGCCGCCGCCGATGGGAGGAGGCCGGGTGCAGGCAACAGGCCACCCCTACCCCTTGTTCCTCCTCGCCGTCATCCTCAAGGCGTCGCCTCCTCCTCGCCGTACTCCGCTCGGGCGCCGCCCTCGGCGTTCGTCCATGGTGGAGCAAGAGGAGGCAGGAGAGGATTGGGGCCATGAAACCTAGATCAAGCAAGCGCCATGGTAACAACGCTGCTTGACAGGGGAGGCTTCCACGCCGTCGCCGCTGCCAGCCTGCCACCATGAGATTATGCACAGCGACCCTGATCCAGATCCAGTTGCATCAAATTGGTCCAAAGGGACAAAAAATGTAGAAAAGGTTAGAAAAATTGAGCTATCCTATTGTGAATTTGTATTAGAAATCATGAAATGGGTACGTCCATTCACAGGCACAGATTGATTTCATCTACTTTTAGTTACCATCATCTATTAAATTTTTATGTATGATATTGGACATCTTTAGGGCTAGAATATATTGTTATTTTGCCACATAATTATGTATTGTTTCTATATAGTTGCCACATTATTATGTGGCAAGAGATTGTTAAGTTTAAATACATCAAAGAGGATTCTATCTGTACTGTGAAACACAGACAGTCAGATTCTCCCATTTGGGCTGACTTACTCAAGGTCAGGAAAATTTACTTGCAGGTAGGAAGTTAAAAATCATGAATGGGCAAAAGACACTCTTTTGGAAAGATATTTGGCTGTATGATCAACCTTTGTGTGTGCTTTTTCCTGATTTATTTGCCATGTGTCAACAGCTTGATATTGCTGTATCTCAAGTTAAATTCAATCCCCAGTCATTAACTTTCTCTAGGTGGCTGGTAGATGAATGGAGAGTGAATTGGGAGAAAATTCTTTTAGATGTTGCCAATGTTCAACTTTGTGAAGGTGCTGATATAACTACCTGGAAATTTGTGTGTCATGGGAATTTTACTGTTAAATCTGTTTACAATGCTCTAACTGTTAATGATACTGGTCTCTATCATAAAAAAGTGTGGAAAGGGAAAATCCCTGCTAAGATTAAAATCTTTCTGTGGATGATCTTAAACAATGCCATTCTGACTAAGGACAACATGATAAAGAGAAATTGGCAGGGTGATCCCTCATGCTACTTCTGTAATCAAACTGAAACTGCCAATCATCTTTTATTCCAATGTAGTGTTGCAAAAGCAGTTTGGGCAATCATTGCCATTAGTTTGGGGGTTAACAATGATCCTAGATCTCTGGAACAATGCTGGGTTTAGTGTGAACATTGGCTTCCTTTTGGTAAAAAAGGCTATCTGGAAAACTCGTAATAAAATGTATTTCAAAGACATATGTTCAGGATCCTGCCTATATAGTATGCTATGCATGTGCCCTCATGAGTGACTCGGCAGGTCTCTATCTGAATGATGATAAAGAAGCATTGGTGGCTGGCGTTAATACGATGCTGAAGATTGCTATGCAGCTGACAAAGAAGCAGCAGAAATCTGATGATCAGAAGTTATTGGAAGACAACGGTGGGAGCAGTGGTGCAACCTGAAGGGTAAAAAGCTAATCTGTGCCGAGGCTTTTTTTCATGGCATCGACCTTCTTTTGTGAAGTAGTTGATCTACGCTTTTCACGACTCGAGAGATGACTACAAAGATAGCGAACGTCAGAGCTCCAAGATGCTTATGTTATCCTTTAATTAGCAACGGCTTCGAACTTGTAGGATAAGTACTGTTCCCCACAGCATATCCATGGTCTCACCAGCTTTGGATTGTTGTTTAGTCAAAAATCAAAACATGACCTTTGTTTTTTTTTTTGAAATCTTTGCTTTTTATATTAATAATAAGAAGAAAGGGAGTCTAAGAAGAGTATAAGACTTATACAAGCCCATTGGGGCAGGGTTAAATACATGGACCATGCCAAGTAAACAAAAAGAAAAACGACCACCAACTTATACATGCAAATGCCACTTCTTTGTATTAGCTTCCATACTCCACAAGATGGTCTCATCCCTTGTATCTTGCATAATGACATTGAAATTAGGAGAGGTCACCTCACGAAGCATCCATTATTGTGCTTCCATAACCACCAAGCAACCAAAATTACTAATGAGTTGAAGCCTTTGCAGTAGGGTCCTTTTGCAAGTATTGCTTTTACACTTAGCACGAAGGTTGAAGCCACCACTCGGTTAAAATAACATCATCTGGCCGTGGTGTTTGTTTTACGAAATGTGAAATGATACCAAGGTCTTCTTGAAACCTGAAAATCCCTGTTCTTTATCACTACATTACGTTTGAAATCTGAAACCGCGTGCTTAATCCAAGTAACATTGAAGTTGAAGATAGATGTGTTACCTTGACAGGAAGGAAGTTAAAATACAAGAAGAGCATGTGATTATTTGCACCTACTTCTCGCACCACGGACTTGATACTCAGAGATTTTTTTCATTATTATCATTAAACTCTATTCCTCCACCGACGGAAATACATCGATCATATATCATAGCAAGTATTGACGTAAAAATCTATTGGCGTAAAATCTATATATAGCATTCCTCATTAAAAAACATCAAATGAGTTCAGTACAACAATGCGATTCTAGATCCTGAACTACGCCTTTGAGGTGAATAACTTACACAATGATCGAAACTACCGATGAAATCTTTTTGGCTCTACAACATCTAATGTTCCTCGACACCCTCACGTAGCCTCATCTTTTGGTCGTCAAATAAAAACGGGAAAATTTCAGCAACCAAAATTTATCCTCAAAGCGCCTTCTTGTAGTATATGCGTAATGCATCTTCCGAACTGTTTCTATGGATTCGGTACTCACAACTCGTCATGAGATTCAGGTTTCGAATCGCTAGTGTTACGATGCGATGCATCGATCCTCTTAGATTCTCGAGACGCGCGTTTGGTGTATTCACCCTCGTTGGGTGTGATTCAAGAGGTGGTTTTCTCCTTGCTAGCAGGTTCTTCCTCCTTTGCTGTTGTCTTCTCAACCTTGGGTTTTGGTTTTGGAATCCTATTGACACTTGAGAGACCTGCACAATGAAAGAGCACACATTATACTTACTACCATGAGTAGTATGCATAACTTTTATAGGGCGCTCTACCAAATTACTAACCTTATCTTGCAAGTCCGAACTTTCTCATAAACTTCTTGAGATATGAAAACTGGTGGGCTATAGATAGGGTACTTGCAAAATTTTCAACGGGAGTTAGCCACCTTTACAAGACAAAAAAAAAAGCAAGTCGACTCGAAAGGTATACTTTTCCTGCAGGTTTTCCTTCTCCTCCAACCAAGCTTTCACTTTCTCCGCTTCACTTACAACCTAGAACCAGAGCATTACACGACCAACAAAATGAGCATTACACATAATCACAAAGTCAACTTCATTAAGCTCACAGGTTTACCTCATCTACTCTCTTTTGGGGAGCCATGGTTTGTTTGTGTCCCGATTCTTGACAATCTGAAAAACCAAACGTGCCATTGAATTAGAACAGAATAACACATCAACCATGCATTACATCGGTTAACAGTTATCTGAAAGCAGTTCACAACATGGATAAAATGGATGTAAAACAACGGTTTTGTCCCCTTTGTGGAATTGAGTGTATAGTAAATTTAGCCTTTTTCGCTTCCACGAAATTTTTGATCAATCCTTTTTTCGTGCAAGAAGATACGGTGGTCCGACACGTCCTCCTCATCACTCCATCCCGACACCCATTCAAGCATCTACGGATCTCATGGCTCCAGCGATTGCAAAGACCACGCCAATAGGTCGTCGATGCCACCGGCGAGATTTAGGCACGGAGAGACATTGTTCTTGCGATTGCATGCACAGATACTTATTGCATCGGCCGTCGTCGAAGCGTAATTCATGATTGCACACCAAAGAAATATAATGGATCATATAAAAGAGCCAATGCATCTATCCCTCGTGGAACCGGACCAAACACTCATTAGCACTTGAAAAAAAATTGCATAGAAATATGCATGCATGAGCTATGGACTCGATTGCATAGAAACAAACAGGCATAGGTGTTTCCAATTCAACTACAAACGGATCTCTAAAAATTCGTCATTCCACGACATACCTCGTTGGGTGACTCGGCCTTTTGATAGGAAGATCACATCCTCCGTTCACGCAAGCATTGCGACGACCGTGATTCCAGTTCCAGCAGTTGCAGCAGCTGAAGCCGTCTCTCCCTCTCGGGGAGAGGCATGGAGAGACTCCATTCACGCATTCACGCAGTCAGGGGCCAAGCACCTTTCGGCGCTCTTCTTCAGAGCCGTGGATTTTCCCGTCTTCATCTTCTTTTCAGCCGATGATTTTCCTGGATTCATCTCTAGACGGCGTGGATGTGGCCGGCGACGCGGTGAAGGCGGAGATCAGCGGCGGCGGCGTGTCGAGCTCTCGCCGGGCGGGCGGCTAGGGCTAGGGCTAAGGCTACGGCTCCGAGCGGCCCCTTTAGGGTTCTAAGGTGGCGGCGCGGTGCTCTGGGCATCTTGTTTATATAGGGGGGCTGGGAACCTCGGGGCCACGATCGAGGGGATCGAGCGGCGGTGGCTATGCCCGGTTGATGCGCGCGAAGGGCACGCTCGATGGAGGGGGGGGTAGTTGGCTTTGGCCCGAGGCATATCGCCGGGAGTTGGGGAGAAGTTGCCGCTCTGTGTTCGTCTCCAGGGAAGGAGGCGACATGGTGCGTGAAGCCGCTGACACGCGGGCCCTGCAAGGCAGCGACAGGGGCGCGGGCACAGGGCGCTGGGCCACGTCGCCTGTTGTTGCGGGGCTTGGCTGTTGTTGCTGAGGGCTGCGGTTGGTTTGCTGGGCCGGGTAGTGGGCTGTGGCCCAGAACGAAAATAGAGGGGAGTGCGAGAGCGGTGGAGAAGGAAGTCAGCTACATGCCTGGTTTAGTCCCACCTCGCTTGCATATCATTTAAAAGCACAGCTTAAAAGCGCAGGCAAACTAGCCAGTTCGAACACCTGTACTACACTGCCTATGCTCTTAAACGCTTGTTACCTGTGCTAATTGGGCCGGCGCTGCCTGGTTGGGCTCCCTCGGAGGTCGAGCCTGGTTGGGCTCCCTTGGAGGTTGAGCTTGACCTAGCCGTGGCTGGCCCTTAGCACCAATTTTTTTTTCAAACCATCCATTTTGCAATTGAAGTCCCTCTTGAAAACCTTTTTTTTCAAACCATTTATTTTGTAATTGAATTTTTTTTGTATCCTCCATTACTGATTTGTAATATAAAGCCGGACCTTAAAATAAAGAAACTCGGATTCACACATAAAAAACACGTGGATAGAGTGATCGGTTCAACCTACAAGTGCACTCGGATGACACATCAGAGTGATCGGTTCACTTCCTATCATGTTAGGTTAACGGTCTATCAGTCCACTGATCAAACGAGCCGCGAGAATGTAGGTTCAGTACTTGTCATCCTACGAGCACTAGTCTAGCTACTCAGAGGAGACATGAGAGTGATCGGTTGACTTTGTTATCGTTCTATTAGTCTGTTAGTCCACTCGGACGACACGTGATATTGACGGATTAGTTTGTATCATGTTAAGGCTAGTGGTTCACTCTGTCGAGACATGAGAGTGATTGACCTAGCCGTTGCCTGCCCCTTAGCACAATTTTTTTCTTCAAACCATCCATTTTGCAATTGAAGTCCCTCTTGAAAACCTTTTTTTTCAAACCATTTATTTTGTAATTGAATTTTTTTTTGTATCTTCCAGTACTGATTTGTAATATAAAGCCGGACCTTAAAATAAAGAAACTCGGATTCACACATAAAAAACACGTGGATAGAGTGATCGGTTCAACCTATAAGTGCACTCGGATGACACATAAGAGTGATCGGTTCACTTCCTATCATGTTAGGTTAACAGTCTATCAGTACACTGATCAAACGAGCTACAAGAATGTAGGTTCAGTACTTGTCGTCCTACGAGCACTAGTCTAGCTACTCAGAGGAGACATGAGAGTGATCGGTTGACTTTGTTATCGTGCTATTAGCCTGTTAGTCCACTCGGACGACACGTGATAGTGACGGATTAATTTGTATCATGTTAAGGCTAGTGGTTCACTCTGTCGAGACATGAGAGTGATTGACCTAGCCGTTGCCTGCCCCTTAGCACAATTTTTTTTCAAACCATCCATTTTGCAATTGAAGTCCCTCTTGAAAACCTTTTTTTCAAACCATTTATTTTGTAATTGAATTTTTTTTGTATCCTCCATTACTGATTTGTAATATAAAGCCGGACCTTAAAATAAAGAAACTCGGATTCACACATAAAATACACGTGGATAGAGTGATCGGTTCAACCTACAAGTGCACTCGGATGACACATAAGAGTGATCGGTTCACTTCCTTTCATGTTAGGTTAACGGTATATCAGTCCACTGATCAAACGAGCCGCGAGAATGTAGGTTCAGTACCATTTATTTTGTAATTGATTTTTTTTGTTAAGGCTAGTGGTTCACTCTGTCGAGACATGAGAGTGATTGATTCACTTCCATTCACTTTAGGCCTTTTACTCCACTCAGTCAGTACGTGCAAACTACAATGGTTTGCAAAAAAAAAATTAAAATCAATGGTTTGCAACAAAAAAAAATTGGTGCCATGGGCGGCGATACTAGGTCAGAGTTCGACCACAAATAGGGCCCTACCAGTTGCTGCGCCGCCCAATTAGCCGTTATATATAGCTGACTCCCCGGTCAAGCCCGAGCGCGTGGCCCAAGGCCCACTATGCCCTCGCGCCCAGTTGCGCCGCTCGGCTGCCAAACATGGGGGTAACTGGAAACGGGGTTTGAAGCCACGATCTCCGCGCGTAATTATAGGATCGTAGCCGCCACGTTCCCAGCGTAGTTGCTCTTTCTCTACATCCTTGATTTCTGTCTCGATTTCTCCGGCGAACAACGACAACATCACCCGGAATCGGCACTGGCACCATGGACACGGCAGGAGATGGAGAGCAGTCCCCACGTACTCCGATCAACATGGGTACAGGTGAATGATACATCCCTCCTTCAGTTTAATGAGCACAGGGTTTTTGTACGGCCAAGCTTCACCAGTGCGTCGTGCACGTTGACCATGGTCGGGACGAGCTGCCGCTTCGAGTTCTTGGCCTCCTCGAACACCTCATTCCCCACGGCCACGCCGTGGATCCGCGTCGCCGGGTAGTACGCCGCCACGTTTCTCTGCACCCACCGTGGCGCAGTCGATACTTCCGCGACTATAGCTGCGTCGCGGGGTAGTACGCCGCCACGTTTCTTGCACCACCGAAGCCATGTCAGGCAGGTCATTCCCCAACCGGCCGTAGCTCACGCCCACCATGCCGGCATCTACATTGTACAGTAAAAAACAGTTAGCATAGCGCTAGATTGGACCTGAAAAAATAAACAACGATCTGAGCTGAACGTTGTTACCGCAAGGGATATACTTTCTTTTTTCTCTTAACAGGAGGGGTCAGCACGTTTGCTTTGGGAAATAACATTAGGAACATCACCATGAGTCCTGCTCTAGGAACGCACACCTCCAAGCAGCATCTCCAATTATTTTAGTCTTCTTTGTGGCCTTCCTCCTCTAGTACCTGCAAGTTCTAATAGGTTATTAAGCATGAATTTTTTCAGTTTACAACATAAGCAATGGTTCAGTTCACATCACTTTGATAGTATATTGGTACTTGCCTCTTTGCCTTTCTCCATAATGCTTCTCTCCATAATCAGTACAAAATTAAAAAATGCTGCATCAGTACAAAATTGTAAGAGTAGCGGTAACCACCTTGCCTTGTCTTAGTTTCAAATCTTTTGAGAGGTCAGAATGAAGCTTATACTAAAATATTTCTTATGCACAAAATCTGATGTAGATGGCAATCATAGAAGGAGTACTACTACAGGGAAGCGAGATCGAACCAACAACAAGGTAATCTCAAAGTATCCAGTTTTAGTTCTTGTGTATGTTGCCTATTCATTTTTACCAACTTATCATCACCACCAACGGCTGCTGCAGAAAGTTGATATGCATGTAACACACTCGCCACGAGACTATTTAACGTCATAGCAGCCTTAAAGGCATCGCAACCACACATTGACGCTATTGAGGCTATGGGATTTGGGGTCGATTCGAATGCCAAATATTAGTCTTAGGAAAGGCATGATACAGGACATTGCGACACATACCAAGTTAGCAACCGAGGATTCAATTTATGTGGTCAAGTAGTTACTATTCATCCAGATGATGTCCAAAATATAATGGCACTCCGGATTACAGGCATTGATGTAGATGAATATATAAATGAAAATATGAAGAGTAAAGATGGAAGTAGGCAGAGTGAATTATTCAATAGGTATGCCAATGATAAACACAAGCTCGACCTAACATGGCTGGAAAAGATGCTTGATAAAGAACGACCTGCGGATGATGACTTTAAAAG